TCATCTCTACCCCAACCCCTCAGTGGACAGTCACGTGGGAAAGCATATTATGGACGAAGTGTTGGACTCAAAGACAGGACTCCTGAGGAATAAAACGCGTATTTTAGTGACGAATCAATTGTTTGTTTTACCGAATGTTGATCTCATTGTTGTCCTAAAAGAGGGCAAAATCGGGTCAATCGGTACTTACGAGCAGTTAATGTCACAAAAGGGAGACTTTGTTGAACTCATCCGACAAATAGTGACCGACAAGACTGACGGCGACGACGACGAGGAGGCGAAGGCACTCATCAGACGCCGCACCACAACATCGACCGGACCCACAATACCGACGCCCACACCAGTCGATAGCGGGGCGACAGTCGGGGCTGAGAAGAAGGATATATTGGTTGCGGACGAAACAGTAGAGACGGGTGACGTTAAGCTCGCCGTATACGCCAAATACGCCCGAGCGATGACCCCGTTGTGGACGGTATTGATTGTATTCAGTTATATGGCATTCACTGCCGTCAACTCGGGCTCAAACTTTTGGCTCAACGTATGGAGCGCTCAGTCGAGTGCCGACCGGAACGGCTATTATTTTGGCATTTACGGACTCTTCGGTATAATCCAGGTGTTTGTGGTGTGTATGGGATGGACGACGATAATAACGGGCACTATGTGTGCCTCCAATACCCTTCACCAGAGGTTATTGAGGGCCACAATGCGCGCACCCATGAGTTTCTTCGACACGACACCATTGGGTCGGGTATTGAATCGGTTTAGTAAAGACATTGATATAATGGATACGGCAATGAATTATACTTTGAGGTTTGCCTGAATTGATTTCACATTTTAATCTTCATGCTTCAGTCTATTCGTAAAATAAACCTGCCAATTTTATTACATACTATTACAATAGGGTATTATTAAATACGAGTTTCACAGTTGTGGCCACAATTGTGATTATATCGATACAAACGCCTATATTTTTGGCCGTTTTCTTCCCGGTTATGATTGTCTACTATTGGATTCAGGTTTTCATTCATTTGTCAAAATCTATTTACAAATTCAAACATAATTTTGATTTATTTTGCATTTAATTTCACCAAAAATTGACAGAAAATTTATGTCGTGACGTCTCGACAGTTAAAACGGTTTGTAAATAAAACAAAAGTTTATTATAAAAATTGTTTTTCAAAAATCTCTTATTTATTGAAATAATTGTTTATCTGTTAATACCTAAGACTGGAATCGATAACCCGATCGCCAATATATTCACACTTTGGGGAAACGGTTAACGGCGTGACAACTATCAGGGCGTACGGCGTCAACAACCGCTTCATACGGGAGTCCGACGCCCGGGTGGACACGAATCAGATGTGTTATTATCCCAACGCTATCGCCAACTGTTGGCTTCAGGTGCGGCTCGAATTGTTGGCCAATTTTCTCATATTTTTTGCGGCACTGTTTGCCGTACTGGCCAAAGGAACATTGGACCCAGGTGATACTGGACTGTCCATATCATACGCTATAAACATTACGGTGTCTTTGAATGCATGCGTTCGTATGTTTGCTGAGATGGAGAACAATGTGGTGGCCGTCGAGAGGGTTGACGAGTACTGTGGGGTCGAGTCTGAGGCCGAGTGGTATTCGGGTCAGAAAATACCCGACAACTGGCCGAACAGAGGATGCATTCAATTCACAGAATACGGCACTCGATATCGCGAAGGACTCGAACTCGTCCTCAAAGGCGTTGACATCAATGTTAAAGAAGGAGAGAAAGTATGTATTTTTTTATCTGAATGCAATGCATTTAAAGATTAGTACAGTATTTAGAAATTCATGACATGTTTTGTGTATAACAGATAGGAATAGTCGGTCGGACGGGTGCGGGAAAGTCATCCCTAACTCTGGCGTTGTTTAGACTAATTGAGGCCTCATTTGGCAGAATAACTATCGATGGCATTGATATCAATCAATTAGGACTACAAGTAATGCAATAAAACTAATTATAAATAAAACAACTTGTTTATTATTTTATATAAAATAATCAGGAGTTGAGATCACGGCTAACAATCATACCTCAGGATCCGGTGCTCTTCTCGGGAACTATTCGCGAGAATTTGGATCCGTTTGTGAAGTCTTCGGACGAAGAGTTGTGGACAGCTTTAGAGGACTCACATCTCAAAGACTTTGTTAAGTCATGCGATGCGGGCCTCGACTATAAGGTGTCGGAAG